TAGATTAAATTGTGAATAATCTATTCTCTTGTGTTGTAAATAATAAGTCAAGATTATTAAGACATTCATTGTGCGATTATTGAAACTTTGGAAAAGAAATGTGCTGAAAGAGAAAGTGATACTTCAAAATATAAAATTTGTATTGATGAGAGTCATTGTCTGCTGTATTTACTACCGATAGTTGCTCTGATGATCGTTTTTTAATCACTCCACTAGCTGTAATCTATCCAAAAGTTTTAATTGTTGGGAAATCTGAGGTATTCTCTTTCATAGACTTAATTCTTTTCTCTAAATTGGAAATTTTGTTGTTTTTTTTCGCTTAATTCAAGCTCCAATTTAAATTTTTTTTAATCATTTCATCAATCTGATAAACATGTTCTATATTAAAAGCATTTAAATACCCTTGAACAGTTTAAAAGTTTTATTAACCATTATTAGAGATCAATAATATAAACTGCTATACAAATGTAAATACTTTTATGTATTTATAAGTTTTATAATAAGTTGCATGAGTTGAGTTGTTAATACTTTTTATACAGGGACTAAAAAATTCATGATATGCTTTTTTTCGTGTAACAAAAGAATTTTATATTACATTTCAATTAGGCCGAACATTACAAACATTATTTGATATATATGGAAGCTTGTCATACTTTTAGATGTAGTTACTTTTTACGTAGTTTAAGTTTGAAATTTTAATATTATGTTTGAAGTTTTATTTGTAATTTAAAGTGTTATGATCTAACAATAAACTGTCAAATGCTTTAAAACTGCATAATAACTAAATTATAACTGAATTATTTGCTGAGAACTTTTCATCAATATTATCTCTTGATTCCACTAGTCGTGTTCTACCTGATATAGCAGTCAAACAGGTTGATCCATTGCTTGACATTTGCATCACTCTAGCTTCTGTATTTAAAGTGATTTCCTGCTTAGACTCTTCTACAGCTTGTGGCCCGGAGAACATACCTGTTATAGTCTTGCAGAAGTGATCTCCAGAGCTGTCATCTATCCTTTCAAAACTATTCAACAAGTGCTTATCAGAGTTTTGTTTTCTAGCCTGCTGGAAAGCAGCATCCGTTATCACTATTTTCAAATATTTTGAAGAGAGATCTCATTTGTCTAACTACAATCATTTTTGTCTTCTTCCTATTATAAGCAAGTTTTTTGAGTCTTTAATTAACAAACACTAATCTCTCATCTAGAATCAAATTACTTACTTTCTGATCATCAATATAGATTTCAATCTTCTTGTTCTACATCTAATTTGCTAACAGTAATAACCGATAGGTTTCATCGTCCATTAGATAAAGGTGGAGAGCTTAAGGCCATCCCTCTTGACATTTCTAAAGCATTTGATAAAGTTTGACATGCTGGTCTTCTCCATAAGCTTTCTTCTTATAGTGTATCTGGAAACATCTTTAAGAATATTGAATTCTTTCGTTCCAATCGTAGTATAAAAGTTGTCCTTGATGGACAGCACTCTTCTTCTTATTCTGTATCCTCAAAAATTCTTCAAGGTTCAATCTTTGGACCTATACTCTTTTTAATTTACATTAACGATCTTCAAAACATTCTCACATCTAAGGTGGCATTGATTGCTGATGATACTACTATTTATTCCTGTCATGATAAGAAGCCAACTCTCTCTGATTGCTTGGAAGGAGTATTTGAGCTTGAAAAGGATCTCAATTTTGCTGCAGCATGGGGCTCACAGCGGCTAGTGAACTTTAATTCGTAACGTTCACTAGTTAATGTGAACTTTAATTCATTAAGTTCACTAGTTAATGTGAACTTAATGAAAAAAAATTGAGATAAAGCTCAATTTTTTTGAGCCAATTGTTATCGCAATAGTTTGAACCTTTCTATATTTATGAATGGTAATGTACTCGATGAGTCATCTACCCTTTATCTTCTAGGATTAACTCTCACTTCTGATCTTTCTTAGAAACCATATATCAAATCCGTTACAAAATTAGCATCTGCTAAAGTTGCATCTCTTTATCGAGCTCAACACTTTTTTACTCTGGATTCTATTCTCTATCTCTATAAATCTCAAATCTGACCTTGCATGGAATACTTTTGCTATATCTGGGGCGGATCTTCTAATGATGCTCTTTCTCTTTTAGACAAGGTGCAAAAACGCATTGTAAACAAAGTTGGACCTGCTCTCGCAGCCAACCTTCAACCATTATCACATCGTGGTAATGTTGCTTCTCTTTTTCTTTTCTAAAAAAACTATAATGGGCACTGCTTCAAAGAGCTTGCGCCTCTTGTGCCATCTACTAAAATTCATTCTTGTGTTACTCGTCATTCAATTAAGTCTCATCCTTTTTCTGTGAATGTTTCTTAGTGCTCCAAAAACTCTTATTTGTCTAGTTTTTTTCCTCGAAAATCAGTTGTTTGGAATTCGCTTCTATTATTTTGCTATCCTGATTCATATAATTTGAAATCTTTTAAGTCGCCTGTCAATTGTTATCTTGCTTTACATTATTCATCTTTTCTCTTCCAGTAACTTCAAACACTAATTAGTGGTTACTTGCAGCGTTGTTGGATGGGAAGATGGTTACAAAAAAAAAAGCTATCCAATTATAAAACATAAAAAATAACTATCAAAATAAAATTTTGCATACATTACTCCTGGTCAGCAATATTTTGCCGACTAAAAACACTTTTAGGTTGGCATTGCCTAATGCCGACCCTAATTCCGAGGGTTGGTTTCAATATATCAAAATTTATACAAAAGTTCATGGTCATTAAATTAACTTTCCATCAGTTCAATCTTACTTCTTGCAAAATTCACTTATTATTATATTAACCAAAACATATAATTAATTGTTTTGTTAATATATTATCAAAAATAAATTGTAACAAAAAAATATGGTTGCTATAAAGTAAAAAATAAAAATAAAATCCGAAATTTAGGAGTCAAATCCTTCCAGAACTCAAAATAACTATCAAAATAAAATTTTTTATACAATTATCTATATGCATATATTGTTAATTCGAATTTTCGGCTTGTGGGTCACTTTTAACAAGAAAATCGAATTAATCTTTTTTCATTACTTTGGTACAAATGTTCATTAATTTATGATCCAGGAACATGACATATATATATATATATATATATATATATATATATATATATATATATATATATATATATATATATATATATATATATATCCACACACACATATCTAATTATTTAGTTTTTAAATCAATGCAGAAAACAGTTGAGTTAACAAAGTTTGATTTTCATTCGTTTTCTTTGAAGTTAAAAAGCAGACACTTTAATTTTTAAGTCTTTTTTTTAAATTCTGCATTGGTTTTGGATTGTTGTTAAAGAAATGATATATTTGAACCTCTACCTCATACTTTTTTTAGTTTTAATGAATTACCATCATTATTCCAAAAACTTGTGTCAGCAAAAGTTTCCAAACATCAACGTCTTAGTTCTGCCACCTGAACTGTTTCAATTTTGTTCTTTACAACATTGTTTTAACAACATTAGCTTAATCTATTAATTCTTAACACTTATTTAGATATCAGTAAGATCAGTAATAATGCCACTTAGCTTTTCCTCGTCTGAGACTTTTTTTGAAAATATTTTTCTAGCAAGGCTCGAACAGCACGTTGATTTACTCTGAATTAAAGATATCGAATTTCAAATGTCTTGAATTTAAGTCCAGACATCACCTCTCTCTGTTGAACCACATTTACACTTGTATGATTTGATTATTAATATACTAATACTCCAATAAATAATTTATCATAAGTATCTGTTCACACAAAAGGGTACTCTACAAAAAAAGTAACAATATGTAAAAAACTTATAATTTATATAAACTAAAGATAAATGTAGTAAAATATTTTTTTCAATACAACTTTGGCTTTTTGATGCTATTTTTTGAAAAAAAAACTCACTTATATGCATTGACAACTTTAAGAACTGAAATTAAAAGTTGACTGAAAAAAAACAGAACAAGAAATAGGGTTTTCTACTACAAACATTCGCAAAGAACATCATCCTAATGCTCTCCCGTTGTTCTTGCATTAAGGGCCTAATGACAAAGAGTGTTATAACTAAGGCAAAGGTATGCTTTTATAGTTTTTAGTTACTATGCTTAACATTGATATAAGCTGATTGACCTCAGGATTGCAGAAACTGCAGACCCCCTGCAACTTATGTTGCAGTAGTGGTGTAGTGGTAAAGCGCTTGCCTCAAGCAAGAAGTTCCGAGTTCGATCCCCGTCACGTTCCTGGCAGCATGCACTCAAATTGTTTCTCCAGGCAGTGGTCTTGTTTGTCGCTCGGTGGTTCGTATTTCGGAGTTATAGAATTGACAGAGGTTTGTAACTACAACTAAAATAGCTTCCTCGACTGTAGTGACTGTAGTGTTTTTATTTTTTTAATTAAATTAAATATGGTAGACAATATAGTTAAACCAAAAATTTTCAAATTCCTATCTCACTTCAAGAGTGTAGGGGTAAGCATTATGTACCAGAATATTCCTTAAAAAATATTTGTATATCTTATAATGCTGTTTTCTAATTGAAAAATGTTTTTAACGTAATACAATTTTAACACATATCGCTAGTTAAATTGTTTTAAAATGAGAAATCAACACAATAAAAGTTTGTTTTGACATTTTAATTTAAATCTACTAAAGCAATTAAGTTTTATAGTAAACAAGTATTACAAGTTCAACGTAATTATTACAAATATAAAAACTTATAAATTTAGTTCATTCAGGTAAGCAGATAGCTTTAAAATAATTTTGTAAATATAATTATAATTAAAGTTTATAGCGGTTTTATATGTTTTAACTTTATTCCTAATGTTTTTAAAAATAAATCTGCTAGCGATTCTTCATTCAAAATCTCTCAAATTCTGAAGGTATTCTTATTGCTTTCTCGCTACTGCATTATTGCGCATTACGTGGTAGTAAAATTGACATACCCTATTTTTGATTAAATAAAGTCTTTTTTTTTTAGATAATATTCCTCCGTGGTTTAAAAAAAATATTTCAAAGCAGTATGCTTTTAAAGGTCAGCAATGGAATTATATAATACCAGCTTTTGATCCTGAAAATCAACCTTTAAAATATGAATTTCAAGGTGAAACTTTTGGTATGAAAATATCATCTACTGGTGTTTTAACTTGGAGTCCTGCTGTAATTGGCAATTATTCCTTTGTGATTAAAGTAACTGATCCGTGCGGTTTATCCGATTCTGCTAAATTTGAAGTTGAAACTATGCAATGTTATTGTGAAGGGAAAAATGATGGATTCTGCATTTGGAAAGGAGAACCTGGCAATAATAATATGTCTATTTGCCAATGTCCTAAAGGATGCTCAGGAGAACAGTAAGTTTATTTTATTTGTATTTTGTTATTAATCTTAATAAAAGTTCATAATTTCTTAGAGCCGAAATAAAAAGCACACACCAAACACGCGCGTGTGCGCATTAATTTTTTACAACCTTCATTAAAGCAAAAGAACGACATTTTGCATATTGATAAGTCTTTATTAAAAGCAGAATCAGTTCTAATAAAACTATAAGTTTTATTCACTTTTTTTTGTATTTTCACACATCTTTTTTTTTTAATTTTATATGTTTTAAAGACATTTAAATGTTAATATTTAATATAAAAAAATGTTTTAAAGAATTATAATGTTTCAAAGGGTTCTCATCCTACTCAATAAAATTTAATGTTGTAATTTATTTTAAACGTTTCAATTGCTTCTTTACTGTATGTTTCATATTTGTAAGTTTGTTATGTTCAAACTGCATTTAATCTTTTTTAAATTTCTATTTGTTTGATTAGGCTGAAATTTTTGAAATATATTTTTTAAATAAGTTTGAATCTGTTGGAATTTGATAGACTTACGAAGTTTTTTTATACGATTTTTGATGATTTATTTAGTTTTGAAAAGCGTTTTAATAGCTTCTGTTAAACCCTAAAGCTCAACCGGGCTAGCTATTTAATACCAAATTAATTTCACTAGGCTAGTAATAAAAACTCGAACCGCAAAATAAATAATAAATCATATTAATTTGTTTTTTATATTATATGTATAAAAGAACAGTTAAGGTGGTGCACCAGGAAGAAAAATGACAAAAAAAAAATTGATAAAAAAAATTACATTAGTAAAATCAAATTAAAATTGTTGTTTAATCTACTGTGTTTGATCTGCTGTGTTTAATGTGTTGTGTTTGATCTGTTGTTTGCAAAATGAGTTATGGCATGAGTATATACTTTTATGGTATTTAGATGTACGCAACCAATTGATGGATTAATTTGCAGAATTAGAGGTTGTTTTTTTTTTTTGTTTTTTTTTTCTAGTTTTTTTTTCTAGTTTTTTTAACATTTTAGTTTATTTAATATAATTTATTAACTTCTAAATTTAGTTACAAAACAAGTTAATGAGAAATCAAAAAAGTTTTCTGTAACCATCTTAACTGTTATTATTGTGACTTTGGTTATAATCTTAGCAATATTTGTTTTGGTGTTTGTTGTTCATTTGAAGAAAAAGAACAAAATCGTTTTCCAAGAAAAGGATGAATCAAAAGGAAACACAAATGTGTTCAGTAAAAAAAGTGTCATTGACTCTGCAATACCGCTGAATGATCTGAAAATCTCTAATGAAGGTTATAAAAACGAAGCTTTTATTAAGAATGATGAAATCCAAATAAAATGTAGAAAAACTGCTTGGCAAACGTGAAACCTTAGTTTATAATAATTATTTTATTTATAATAATTATATTTTTATTTCTATACACACGAAATAACAATAGTAAAAAGCGGGCCTTTAAGGTGGTTGACTCTTATTCCAAACACTATTTTTTCCGAAAAGTTATAGAAAGTGATTTTTATTTATTTTAAACATTGTAAGAGTTCTTACTTTCATTTTATAAGTTCTTTTATTTCTTCAAATTTGCATATAAATCGGTCTAATACTCGGTATAAATTTTCACCCCCTCCCTCCCCCTTGTCACAAGACGTCACAAAAGTTTAAACTCCCCTTAGAATATTACGTCACAATTTCATGACCCTTTCCTCTTTGATAAATGTTGTATTATTTTTATAGGTAGCTAAATATTAAATATTTTTCAAAATGGTTGTCATGTATGTATTTTTAATGGGAAAAAGACAATGGGCAACGAAAATGAATGAGTTATAACTATATTTATTAAATTAACATCAATTACTCATTAGTGATTTATAACATTGCCAAAAAGATTTAGCATTTGAAATGTTCAATTGTAGTTTTTTATATTTAAATATATTAGTAATTGAAACTTTTTTATATTACTACTATCAACCTAGACAGCAAGAATAAAATGGTCCCGCACTGGTCTTGTATAGGCTGCCGCGCTGGACCGGCTTCAGCTGCCAACGCTGGCGAAGCTTTTGCTCTAAAGATTTTTCATGGACCAACCGTGGCTAGCCAGCGATGGCAAAACAGAGGCTAGCCAGTGCGGGACAAGAAGTGGCAGAACAGCGATTAGCCATTTTTAACTACCATCGTATTTTACCACACCGTCGTGATTTTGTCTTTAATAACTAACTGGATCGCGCATGGGATTGTTATGGATTTTCATCGGGCAATCCTATTTGAAGTCCCTATATTTTCCTTTTAAACCCCGTTCTCTTAATTAAAGTTGTTTTTAGCATAATCGACTGTAATTTGTTGGTTTAAAATTGGCGTATTTTTCATAAGTTTAAGGACAATAAAATGTATTAAACAAACGATTATTGACAATTTTAATTATTATGAATAAATTTGAAAAACAGGCTTAAATTTTAAAATATATTTACGCAATTATAATACAAAGTTTTCATTCATAATCATTCAACAATGGTGCTTTTCTGCAATTCATATCTAATCGTCAACATGATTCGTTGAAAAGTTTCTGCTTCAATTTGTAACGTTTTTGTCTTCTTTAGTGCTTGCATCCGTTTTAACTTTAATAAAATAAAAACAAACATAAGCACAACTTAATAATTTATTATATATATACTTAAACAATATAGTAACAACGTATATACAAAATGATCACAACTTTAAACAACATGGTTATCATGTTACAATAACAGTTATTTTTATTACTGACGAAAAAGTTCAATCCATTAACAACAAACCATAGTTACAGAGACTTGAGTTAAGGATCTTTTTATAACTTAGTGAACTAAAATGTAATGAATATCACAATGAAAATTTACAATTACAACCAAATGCAGGATACTTACAAATGTATTCATTAAAAAATGTGGTACTTGGACTATTATGGACAAAAACTCTATTAAAAAATTTTTGTCTCGAGATTTGACATTTCATGATATTTAATTTAATTCACAGCAGATTCTAAATAAAGTATATGACAGGCAATTCATCATTTTAATATAAATAGATAACTTTAAAATGTTCCCAGAGTATAATTACAATTTAAAGCATTTTAAACATTTATTTAAAGTCTGTTAAGGTCGCTCTCAATGACAAGATATTATGACCTTCTGTGAGTATCTGTGTTCTTATTGTAAAGTCAACAAAATTTGTAAATCTTATTTTATGTATTTTATTCATTCTTTTATTGTAAAAGTTATTTTAAATAAACAAAAAATAAATAAAATTAAAAAAATTAAAATGCTTCTCAATCTTCTTAAATATTTTTATACACAGAAACTATTTTATAAAACACAGTAAATCTAGTCATTAGTAATAGTAAAATAAGGATAAAAAACTTTTCCTTCACTTATACACTGAAAACAAAAATATCAAAAACTTATTTGATTAAGTGTAAACTTAGCAGATTTATATGAACCATTTAATTTAAGGTTTGGCAATTTTGTGTCAACATTACGTTTAATAATTAAATCTAATAATTAAAATTATTTTATATAAAGTTTTTCATATAAAATAACAAAATGAGAAAAGGCATCAAACCTAGGGAATGGAGTTTCATTATCGCAGATCCAAAAAGTTTGGAGCATACATACTAAAAGAAAATATATAAAAAAACATTCTGTATTCTAAAACAAAAATCAGGTTAATAGCATCATTATTGACAATTCTTTATAACTTTTCATGAAAGCGTTTTAAAAATGAAATTATGGAGAAAAAATTACTTTGGAAATTTGACATTATGGCAAATCAAACACTTATTGAAATTATTAGATAAAAGAAATATAACATTATTAGTACATCATTATTTAGACCTCACCTTGAATATTGAACCCCATTAAGGAGTTTGCATAAACGAAAACATGTTAATATGATTGAAAAACTCCAACATAGAGCAACTCGTGTTTATAGTTTAAAAGATTTGTTATGTAAAAACTCACTGGTAAACCTTTCTCTCCACGTTAAAAATTAGAAGATCAAGAGGTGATGTGATATAACTATACAGAACTATTAATGACTTGGATGTAATAAATTAGCATAATACAATATTTATAAAAAATTCTATTAAAGAAGACAGCAATAAATGATATATAAACAGCAATTCAAACGATCAACTTTATTTTTTCATTAATAGAATAGCTGACAAATAAAGAAATTTATAAATAAAAGTTGTGAAAGCGAAAAACTTAGTTATATTTTTATCACTCGAAGATAAATATATACAAAACTGTGTACAGTCTGGCATCTACTTTTGTTAGACTATACATTGATATTGTGTATCACAACTTTATTGGTTTATTTATTGTATATATTAAATTGCTAGAAAAAATTAAATTGCTAGAAAAAAAAAACAAAAAAATAAAATCAACAACAAATTCTTCAAATTATTTTGTTAAAAACACTTAGATGGTCAAATCTAGATATATAAACTTAGTAACTTTTTTTATTTAGTGCTTCATATGTTAGTAATACTTAGGTATTTATTTTTTGACTTCAAAAACTATGCATAACACAATAACATTCTTATACTATATTTATAAAAAAATGTTTTCTTCATCTTATTCATATTTAACTATAAGAATATAAAAGATAAATGCGTTAACAACAATTAAATTATATTACAGAAAAGTTATGAATATGACAACAAAAAGATAATAAAGTAAAGCAAAATTGTTCTAGTAATCTACCCATTAATATACATACATTTTATATATTTCCTTTTCTATCAAACCAACATTTCAATTAATTCTTTTTTATCAACATCAATCACTTTATAGTTACCATAAATTAGGTTTTATGTTTCTTTATCATATTATCATTTATATTCTTTATCATATCTTCATCATATCTTTAACATAGGTTTTAAGTTTCTTAAATCAGTTTTAGCTTGGTGAAAAAAAAAATTAAACCAATTTAATGGTTAATGTTTGATGTAAACAATGTTAATATATCATGATCATTATGTTATTTGTAGTGTAACAACACAGCTTATACGTCGTATGATTCTAAACTTTATTTATTTAAGAAAAGAATTAATTGGAATAATTTATTTAGAAATTATTTTAAAAACATTTTAAAATTTATTTAGAAATTATTATGTACGTTATATAAAATCACCTACTACTAATTAACGACCTTCAAGATCGATGTAAAAGTCTGCGCAGTAAACGCAAATGCTCTTGTTTATATTGATTTTACCACTGATGGGCAAGTATCGGCCCAATGTCTGTTGTTCTGCTTTGGCAACTCTTTGTTGGACCATTAATGGTTTTTTGAGGCTACCCAGCTCAGACAATTTTATAAAGGCTCGGCAATAGCTTTGTTACGGCTTCCCAAAACTGGCAATACAAAAACGGAACTTTATCAGGCCTTTAAAGAACTCGCTGGCATCGGCTAGCCTCAATCGGACCAGTATATACTTGCTGTCTGGGAAGTAACTATTACCTCGCAGCTATTCCGTATTCTAAATAAAATAATTTTAAAAAATGAACCTTAAATTGATTTCAACAACTAAATACAAGTTTAGAAATTTATAACAAACTAAAATATTATTAGTAATTAAATTTTATTTGAACCAATTACAACAATTAATGAATCATTGAAACATGAAACATTGCTGAAATCAAAATATTAGCAAAAACAATTTTCCCATGGTAAATAAAAATGTTCTTTTATGGAATAACCTATTTGAGCGTTAACACCAGTATTCTGGGGAAAAACATCGGTATATCAAGTCATATGAAATTGATCGATACGAATTTGAAAATCAGGGAAGAATTTCATCAACTTTTATGTTTTGTACTGCATACAGATATGGAAATTGATGGCATCCCGACAAGAAAGGTATATGTGGCCCACATGTGGTCATAGTGCTTTCGTGTAAAATAAAAGTTCAAAAATATATTACAGTTAATGAATGACGAATTTAATTTTTCAATTGATTTTCATTTGATGCAACCAGAGTTTTAATTTAAAAGTTTTTCAATAATATTTAAGTAAAACTTGCAAAAAGTGAGGCTATTTCTTCATCCTGACATTGCAAAAACACAGCATTTAACTCTTTTATGTTACTTGATTTCTTGAATAAACTTTCTTCAGTATGACCTATTGGCATACGTTCTGTCAGATGTTTAATCTCTTTTGTCGCAGAAGTTACAGATTTTACTAAATCTAATCAAATGAAATGGTTTTAAGTATTTAAAAGAAAGACAAATTAATATATGTACTTTAAAAGATTTTTCACCTGTAAGTAGATTTTCAATGGAAGACAATTGGTATTCAATTGACTGTGTGATTGGTGTAAGGGTGTGAGTGGAGTTTTCGGTGTGAGGGATTGGCAAGAACTCCAAAGATAACTCCAACAAAATATATTATAAATATATTATTAATATATCAACATAAACAATTTAAAAAATATAATTTTCTAGTTTAACTACATTTATGCATATTTTAATTTAATGATCATTAATTATAATTATTCTACTTAACAGCAAACTTATAATTACTGAAATAAAATTTACAAAAAGTATACTGAAGGTAAATTTATTTCTTTAGGATCATTGAGTAGATTTGCCTTGGTGTTGGATCTCTCAAAAAAAATTCTAATCATTCATCAAATTTTAATATCTAATAATAACTTTAACAAATTTTAACTTAAAGTATTGCTATCAAGCAACATGTTTAATACTTACAGTATGGTGTGGTATTAGCAGTAATGGTTGGCTACTAGGTATTGATGTCTAAAACAGTTTTATATTAATTATTAAAACCTAGTAAAATTTTATCTAATTTAAGAAAATAAAAACTTACATTTGTTGATTGTTATCAATAAGTGTAAGTCCATGTTTAAATAAATATTTTCGTTTTCACATTTAAAATAATTATTTAAAATTTTTTTCATTAATTTGTTTACGCTTGTTTTTAATAAAATCACTTTATAAACTTACAGAAATGACAGCTGGCTGAAAAGTGGCCCACATGTGATCTACTTTTGGGCCAGCGGTATAAGTGGTATACCCGATAGGTATAAGTGGCCCACATGTGGGCCACATATACCTATCGGGGAGAGGGGGACCCACACACCCTCCTTGGTATATAAGTAATATAGTTTTAAATATTATTCTTTTAACAATATTTCGTTATATAATCTAAATCTCACATAAAATCGCATAAAAAAAACATAGTTTAGTAATGATAACAAATTGTATATTACAATAAGTAAAAGTCCTAACATACCTAGGCTTTTGTTTTTTATTTTATATATTTACACTTTTTCATTTATAAATATTTATTTTTATCTCTCAAACATGCTTACAACAGTTATGAATTAAAAATTACCAAAACGGTAAGCCACATGATACCATGGAATATTCTAGAGTTTACAATGCATTACAATAGAATTTTTGCAATTGGTTAAAATTTAAAATTCAAAATGAGGCAAGATCGTGAGTTTTATATGTATTGCTCTTATGGTAGCTACATCAAATTTAGCACATATTTATTTAAGGATTAAATAAATATGTGAACCGCATTATGTGTTCCACAAGTGGGCCACACTTATCTTAATAAAATAATTTAAAAAAATGAACCTTAAATTGATTTCAACAACTAAATACAAGTTTAGATATTTATAACAAACTAAAATATTATTAGTAATTGTCAGGATGAAGAAATAGCCTCACTTTTTGCAAGTTTTACTTAAATATTATTGAAAAACTTTTAAATTAAAACTCTGGTTGCATCAAATGAAAATCAATTGAAAAATTAAATACGTCATTCATTAACTGTAATATATTTTTGAACTTTTATTTTACACGAAAGCACTATGACCACATGTGAGCCACATATACCTTTCTTGTCGGGATGCCATCAATTTCATCAAAATAAATTTTATGCAGTACAAAACATAAAAGTTGATGAAATTCTTCCCCGATTTTCAAATTTGTATCGGTCAATTTCAAATGACTTGTCATACCGATGTTTTTCCCCAGAATACTGGTGTTAACGCTCAACCAGGTTATTCCATAAAAGAACATTTTTATTTACCATGGGAAAATTGTTTTTGCTAATATTTTGATTTCAGCAATGTTTCATGTTTCAATGATTCATTATTTGTTGTAATTGGTTCAAATAAAATTTAATTACTAATAATGTTTTAGTTTGTTATAAATATCTAAACTTGTATTTAGTTGTTGAAATCAATTTAAGGTTCATTTTTTAAAATTATTTTATTTAGAATACGGATCAAATCACATTTAAATCAGACTCAGTGTGTTCAATGTAATCTGCCTCTAATGGAAATTTATCTACAATCAAACCTGATCAAATTTCAGCAAGAGAATCGTAACACCTCTCTTGTTCAGATGGCTACCATGCGTTAAGTTTTTTTTTAATATAGAAAAATATTTAATCATTTATAATATTTTCTATTTTTTAATATAAGAAAATATTTTAATAAATAAAATAATTTTTATGACGTCGCATTTCTTCAACCCTCTCCCTCTCCCTTGTCATGGATCGTCACAAAAGTCTAGACCTCCTCCCTCCCCTAGATGCGTGACGTCGTTTATGGACAGCCCCTTATTCCGACATTGAGCGTCCTTTGCGTCCGCGAACTCGTATTTTTAGGAAATAGGCAAAATGGGTTATATAGGGATTTGCGCAGTGGTGTGCACATACATCGACTGATTTTTAGAGAGAACATGCAGCGGAGTGTGCAAACAACGACTGATTTGACTGGTTTAGATTAGACAGGTTCCCCAGCCAAATTAAAACCGCGTCCCACATGGGTTCCATGTGGGATCCGTGTGGGATTCATGGGATATATATGGGACGGATTTTCCCATGTGGTATCCGTATGGAAATTTTCCATTTTAAACCCATATGGGTAATCCCACATGGGTTAAATGTGGGAACCATACGGTATTTAATCACATGGGAAATCCCACGTGAGATTATTGTGGGATTTAAATGGGATTTTATTTGAAGGCTGGAAACTAAAACAATCATAAATGTTAAAAACAACATTACATTACTTTTGCGGTGAAGTTACATGCATCTTGTTTTAGCATAAAAATATCTTAAATTAATCTTAAAAAAATGACAAGCAAGTATGAAAGTACTACAAATAATTTGTACCTCTCTTTATCTAATATAAATAATATATATATATATATATATATATATATATATATATATATATATATATATATATATATATATATATATATATATATATATATATATATATATATATATATATATATATAAAAAAAGATAAAAACAACCACCAAAATGTTTTTTTCTAAGAAAATCAACATTAAGGCATTAAAGACACATTTTATAATATAATGATGATTTCATAAATATAAAAGTATTACCAAATATACATAGTACAAAATAATTGTTGGCAGAGTTATTGTATTCTATTATAATCTTGAAAGAGTCATTTTATTTAAAACAAAATCTCAAAATCTACTTGGTCATAGCACCTTTTACAGCTAAGACTGCTTTAATTCTTTTAGGCATACTATCAACAAGCTTTGTTAATAGCAATGGTTCCAAGCTATTCCATGCCTCTTTTACGCAATTGAAAAAACAAACTTCATCATTACACATTCCTCTTTTAATTTTATCTTCAGTTTTGACCATAGGTTTTCAATTGGATTTAGGTCTGGAGATTGGCTAGGCCAGCATTTCAAAGTTAGCATATTTTTTAACATATGCCTTGTTATATTTTGCAGTGTGCTTAGGATCATTATCTTATTGAAACAGATAATTACCATAGTTACCATCTGGAAATAAATCCAAGTAACTTGGCTTTGCATTATGAAAAAGGATACTATGATACTGGTATTGATCCATATTGCCTTTAATCTTGTGAGTTCCTCATGTAGCTTGCGTGGCAAAGCATCCCCATACGTTAATCTTTTTTTGATGCTTAACTGTGGCTTTTATACATTCATGTTGATAATTTTTATTATTACGCCTCCAAACACGAAATCCTCAATTGCATCTAAAGCTAAAAGGAGATTCATCTGACTAAACAACTTGTCTCCATTGGATAATAGCCCAGTCTTTATGCTCACTGCACCATTGAAACCTAAGTGCAATGTTGATCTTTGATAAAAAAGGTTTTTTGATAGCCCAATCCTAATCTTAAATCTTAATCAATCAAGAATCTTAATTTTTGCACTCATGTAAACGACGAATTATGGTTTTTCCAGAAATATTGGTAATACCAGTTTCTATCTTCTCTTTTAGTAGTTTTTCTCTTTCTTCCTAATCCAGATTGACGGACTGTTTCTCCTGTCTCCTTATACTTCTTAAAAAAATAAGTAACAGTACTTTTTCCACATCCAACCTTGCTTGCAATATCTATATGAATCATACCATAGGATGACATCTCAATAATTTTTCCTTTGCTAATGTCATTTAAAACCATTTTTATATATTATATATTTATCTATTCTAAAATGTAACAAATTATTATATTTCATCATTAATAAATACATCTTAGAATTTTTTTATATATACAGGGTTAGGGTTAGGTTAACCCTGTCTATCTACAATTTATATTTTATTACAAAATAATCAAATAATTTAAGAGTTATTTAACCATAACTATGACAAATAAGAGCCCAAATAAGAAATTGTTGAGAAAAGAAGAAAAAATTTAACTTATACTCAATATGAAACCCTTTTCTAATATAAGAAATGAGATATATAACATTTAAATAAACAAGAAATATGCAAAAAGTTGAGATATTGGTTTAAATATCTAAGAAATACTTTTAAAACCCATAAAATGTAAATTTTTCTGCAAAAAAGTCTTGCTTGTTCAGTTTTTTTTGGCCCTTACTATATATATATATATATATATATATATATATATATATATATATATATATATATATATATATATATATATATATATATATATATATATATATATATATATATATATAAAACCAAAGCATTGAGCGAGCCAAGGCGATTTAGTTTATTAATTGAATCAACTAAAGGCATGTAAATCACAAAAGAACAAATAATATTTTTCACATTAATTTTTAACGTATTTATTAATTGCTATTATTTTCATTAATAAATTCATTTTGCAACTCGTTTTTTAATTTTGTAGAATTTTGTTATAATACTTTATGGTAAATCCCACATTATTTGTGGAAAACATCGCATATATTTGATCCTAAATAGCATAAAGTAGCTAATACCAGATAAATTTAAGCCTCTCTGAAAGCTTCAATGATTAATTACGATGTTTCATTTATATGGTATTCGCTACTTTTATACCATTTGAATTAGAATATGTGGCATTTAAGATCTATAAAACATGTGGTGTTTTCAACCTATAACTCGTGTGGAATTTACCATATATAACCCAGATACGCTGACCCTCAAGTCAAGTTATTCTGCTACTGGTAACATGTAATCTAGTACAACTTGCTGCATGTTAACGTCAGGAAGGGCGTACGGTTGTAAAAGATTGCTTTAACTCTTTCATAACGGCATTTATATGTTGCTATGGAAAACAATTCAAACCACACAATTTTGGAAACATGAATGTAAAAACTACAATAAAAAAACAAAACACATTACACAAAATAATAATCCCCACATGGGTTACATATGGAAAAAGCCCACGCGTTTCCCATGTGGGAATTACCATATGGAACCCATGTGGGATTTACCATATGGAACCCATATGGGAAAAAATAATAATCCCCACATCGGTTACATAGGGAAAAAACCCACGCGCATCCCATGTGCGCTTTTTTACTGGGTCTTTTTTAAATGAAGAAGTTGTTTTTTTAACATTTTCGGACCTTAAAGTTTGAAAAAAGAGCCTACTAGCGTTTTTGAAATAAATTGGTTAAATATACGTGAATAATTTTTTGACAAATTTTGTTCAAAACTTTATTCACGTAAAGATGAACAATCACTCAAAAAACGCTGCGTAAAAGCGTTTTTTTTTAAATTCACCCAGCCTATTATGTAAAAAAAAAATAAAAACTGTTAAGTCTTTGATGACTTTTTGGTAACTTTTATGTACATTTATTGTTGCGGTGTTAAAGACAAAACAACAGTATAAACTGGTAAAGTTTTTACATTTAGGACATTTCAATTTCTAAATTTTTTTTTTTTTTAATTAAAAGCTGGGACTTACAGGTGGTTGCACCCCAAAAGCCACGCGAAAGTAGGAGGGTCTAGATTTATTTTCTAGGGACAGATCATAATTTTGTTAATATGGGTTCTGAAAGATAAGCCTAAATAGGGTTCTTCCTGGTAGGTATGGTTTTTTAAGTCTCGCTTGAGTTCTTTTTCTAGAATGTTGAAGTTAACCACACTTTTTTTCATGCACCCCAAAAACAACATTGACAAAATTGGCTTTAAAATCTAAACTATTTGGAATTAAGACCTGATTTTTTGTAGAAGATAGTTATAATAAATTAGTCTTAGGATGATTGTATCATTGCTAACTTAAATTTTTAGGATGTACTTCAATGTACCACAAAAACCACATCATGTGCACCCCAAAAACCACGTTGGTTATTTGAATATTTTAGAAAATATATAAAATAATTCAATAAAAAAATTTTAGGATGTACTCTAAGATAGTAGCTCTTTGTCATCAAAAAAAAAAAAAAAAAAAAGTTAATGTATTGTGGAAATACTACCATTGAACTATGTTATGTTTTTTGTTGTTTTAGAATTTTGTTTAATATAATATTATAAAGTAAAATGAAACCATCATCTGCATTACATCTACGTATAAACAAATCAAGAAATCTCAGTACTAAAGCTGATGCCATAGTGGCCAGAAAACACACAAATGATAAAAATAAACAGTTAGAAGCTGCAATAAATTGGTGCAAAAAATTTAATGGAAACGGACAAGCAGCATTAAAGACAGGTTTGTTTCCCCTTATTAAAGATAGAGAGACAATCAACAGGCGATTAGATGGAAAAGTGATTAATGGAAAAGAAAGAGATTATTGTACTATACTTACAGATGATGAAGAAGCATCTATTGTGCGTTTTATAAAAAATAAGAACAGATGTTTACAGGCAATTAACAAACAGGACATAACCAAATTAATTATTAATGTGCTTCGTGTGAGAGATTACACTAATACAAAAATGAAAGGTGGACGGAAGTTTCAATAGTTATCATTAAATGCTTGAGCTGCTCTAGAAAAGGGAAAGTAAGTTTAATTGAATTCATTTAATCTACAATGATCCTATAAAAGTATGTAAGACGGGTAATATGACTCTTTTCTTTATGTAAATATTCCATTTTATAGATTGAGTCGATCATTTTGGCTTCGTTTTAATGCTAAACATAGCAGCCTTACAATCAAACGCCAAGGGAGTGTCTCGATAAACCGTGCACTTAATTGTTCAAGAGAAATGGCATGTAATCATTTAGGTAAGTTATTAATGAACAAATATAAATTCATAAATCTGAATGTACTTTTTTTTTTAATTTGTTAATTTCCCTATAATAACATTATTTCAGATTCCCTTGCTAAAGAACTAGTAGATGTTGGTATTATGATAAATGAAAAAATGATTGAAACAGGGGTTTGGAATGGCACTGTTGATACATGCCGAATATTTAATTGTGATGAAACACCCCAGTTTATTAATTATGGAATTGATGGTACCACTTCTGGATTATTTTATGCTAGCAAAGGAGATGCATGTCAAAGAATGTATAGAGAAAACAGAGAATGTGTCACAATTCAACCATTTGTTTCATTTTCAGGTATGCTATAATATGTTATGGTTCAAGAAAAAATTGAATATAAATAAATACAAGCATTAAAAAACTTTTTTATTTTTTATTTTTAGGCGACATATGTATGTGTCAGGTAATATTTAAATGTACTGGTATTACTAGTTCTATGGTTCCAACAGAAGCAGTAAATAAAATTCCCCATTTGTTGGTCACAACTACAGATAATGGAGTATCAACCCATGAATCTTTCTTGGCAGCATTGAAAGAGTTTGATGTCTACTTAAATGAAAAAAATGTTAAGCGACCCATCGTCTTATTATCAGATGGACATAGCTCTAGACTAGACTTTGATGTATTATCTTTTTTGGAGTCCAAAAGAATTCATCTTTTTCTTACTCCACCAGACACAACAGGAGTTACTCAACTTCTTGACCAAGTAAACAAGAACATTCATAGTGAGTATCGTAAGCAAAAAGACTCTATGTTTTCTGATATCTGTTCCTTAAACAAAGAAGCTTTTATGTTAGTTTTAGCTAATGTATGGGACAAGTGGACAACCAAAGAAACGCTTGTAAAATCTGCTAAAAGGGTTGGTGTTGCCGAAAATGCATTGAGTGTTGATTTTATGCAAAAAGACAAATTCGAACGAGCAGAAAACTGTATTGAACCAGAAAAACAAACTTCTCCACTAATTTCTTCGCCGGATAAAAGACGTGGTTCAGCAAATTATTGGAAATCAAAATTTGAACAAGCGATGGAGTTGATTGATGAACTTCATGAAAAGAGCATTCAGCTGGAAGAAATACCTGGTTTTATGACAACCAAAAAGATAAAGCCAAAATTAACAAAAGATGCAACACGTGTTACCCAAGTACATGGATCAATGACTGCAAGCGATGTAATAACTCTAGTTGAAAGCATAAAAAGAAAAAAAGAAAAAGAAAAGGAAAAAAAAAGAAAATGCTGCAAAAAAGAAAGAGGAAGTTACAAGACTCTTTATAACATGTAAGCTTCAATGCTATTGCGAGGAGATAAAATGTAAAGCTTTTGGCTTAAAGCAGTGTCCAACCTGCCTCAATATAATGCGGTCCATTTGCAGCAAAGCAAACTGCAAAGTAAATGGAAAAAACCCAGAAATGATTTTATCTGCAGCTGCTAGAAAGAAATAACTGTGATATTCAAAATCTTTTTTATTGAATGAACTATTTGTTTTAAATTTGTTGTAAAGACTTGTTCTGGATAAACTTTTTTTTTTTAACTTTTTCTTAGCGCACCCCAAAAACCACATGTTAAAATGTAATTTTTAAACTTTTTTTTACAAGTTTCCCTTCTACTTATAATAAAAATGGTTTGATTTATGTAAATAGCATATAAAAGATAAGCAAACTAGATAGGATTTGCAAACTTAGTCTAAAAAACCAATATTTTATAGCAATATTACTTAAAACTCAATTATTTTTCTCAGCACTTTTTAAGTTTAAAACGGTTGTAAAAAAAACTCCTTTATTGTTAATATTGATTTCTTTTGTTTTAATTGTTGCTGAAACATTCCTTTATGAGAAAAAATTTCTCATATGGTTTTAAAATGCATATTTAAATTTTTAGAGCCTTTTAACTGACCGCGTTGTTTTTGAGGTGCCTTGGTTTTTTGGGTGCATCTACCTGTAGAGGGAAAATTCTACTATTATGATTTTCTTAAAAAGCAACTATGACAAATATTTTTTTTTATTTTAGGCTGCCTAATTGAAACCTAAAATATGAATAGCATAATGTAAGTGTGCTAATTATATAAACAAAATAAAGAAGTTTTATGAGAAGGCAAAAAGTTAGGAGAAGAAAAAATGTTATAAATACATTGCAAAATTATTATGCATAATAATTTGATTATTGGTTTTTAAAACTGCAACATTCTTTTTCATTCCATATAAATTTCCAACGTTTTGTCTAATCGCCTTACCATATATGGTAAGACGATTAGGCAAAACGTTTAGGAATTAGGCAAAACGAATTTAAAAACCAATAATCAAATTTACTAAAAATTTGGCACACATTAGTATTTACAACATACACAAAAATAATTTTTATTGTTTCTCTCGTTCAGTAATTTTAAATGATTTTTTTTCATCAATTACCTTTAAAATTGCATAAATTTTAACAAATGCAAATGATTTTAATTTTTTTCAATATAAAATACATAATGGTTTTTGAAAAATCTCTGTCGCAGTTAACCCCATTTTTGGGCCTTTTAATTTTTTTTAAAAATAATAATTTTAATTTTTTATAAAAATAATAATAAACAAAAAAAAAAAAAAATTTTTTTTTTGTTTGACTATTGATGTTATATAACAAATTGCAGAAACTTTATTTATTTGAAATATATTATTGATTTTTTTTTTTCTAATTACTATACTACCACCTTAAATGGCATGATATTGCACGATTGCGACTTTTTTCCTAAAGAATAAGAAATAGCTTTTTGTTTGTTTTTTTTTTAAAAAATCGCCTGGTTTTGATGACTTTTTTTGTAATATAGTTATTTCAAACAAAAAACTGAATTTCCAGACCTTTGTTCCATATTATGAAACAGTGATTCCCAAACTTTTTTGTGTCGTAGACCCCTTGCTATGTTTTTCTGTTTTGGTCAGAGCTCCTACTTACCTGATATTGATTTTTCGTTTTTTCTAACTGTAGTGAAGTTTAGTTTTAAAATTGTCAAGTAAAAACGCATGCTAATTTTTATACATTTATTAATTACATTTAAATTAAAAATACTCAAAATAAAATTGTGTATCTATATACGTAACATAAAATAAACACAAAAAATAAACAAACCAATAAGTAAATTTTTTAGTAAGAAAGATGAACCTGATACTTTAATAATAAATTATAAACATTTGATGTAGGGTTTAATCTTAAACCTCCTCGTTAGGAGATTGGTAAGAACGCTAAATCCTCTAAAATTTAATAAATAAAAAATTTCTTCACTATTTTCCATAATACGGGATAAGGAAAGGGATAATGTTTTGCATCCAGAATTGCTAATATCTGTTTTTAAACTGGACCTTAAGTTCTTTGTTTGCACTTAGTGCAATTAGTTCCTCTTGTATTATGACATTTGTTTCTTCTATCTCACCATTCGGGTTAATTATCCACGGTGGTATTACCATAGTCAAAACATTGAAAAGAATAATGAAGCAATCTAGAGCTCAAATTTTTAGCAACTAAATGTTGCTGATGGATGATGCGATATACTGTTTACACCCCTGGCACATTTTGTTTTAAATAGCTTATAAATCCGCAATAACGTTCAACCATGGCAGGTGCTCCATCTGTAGCTACTGATTTTATATTTGATAAAGGGATTGCTTTTACAATAAAGTAATCCTTCAAAACATTAAATATTGATTCACCTTTAGTGTCGGTTGTCAACGTTCTTGAGAAGAGCAGTTCTTCGTGAATTTCTTGATTCATAATAAAACGAACATATTCCAATAATAATGCTGCATTACCAGGTAAAGTTGACTCGTCTAGTTGAATAGAGAAATGTGTCGTTTGCAAATAATTACACAAGAAGCATTCAATAACAGAACTCATTTCATCAATACGTTTTTCAACATTATTGTTGCTTAAGGAAATTCTTTTAATGATATCAGATGCAGGTTTGTTTAAAACAGTTTTTAAAACCTCTTTAACGGGTGGCAAAATTAACTTCTCTCCGATAGTATGCGGTTTTCCGGATCTTGCTACAAGTAGCGAAATGTTGTAAGACCCCCCCCCCCCAAACCATCATTGTTTCTTTGTGATGTCGAAGCGAACATTCTGTCCAGCGTGGGTCTATTCTGAAGTTTACTTTCAAGTGTTGGAAAGTATTTCAAATCTTTATCTGTTTTATCAGGGTGACATCTTTTCAGATGATCCTTTAGCATAGATGATTTCATAACGAAATTTTGTTGCATAAAAGACACATAGGCTATTGTTTGTCCGTCAACGATGGAATAAAGTCAAACTTCAAATAATCAACACTGTTCTGTCTAGATTTCTTTTCACATTCGGGCATGGCATCAGTAATCAGTGGGCAAACTTATTCTATTTATAAGACATAAAGTTCAGCATTTGAAAATCAAAGTCAAATTTAAGTCGTATTGTCTTAGAATTTTTGCTAGGAACAGGTGTACAGCCATTAAAAATGAACGTCAGAACAATACTATAAATATTACTTGTGTAATGTACTCATGTAACTTTGCATGATTTAAATACTAAACTACCAATAACTGAAGTCATGATTCACGTAATTTATTTATCTTTGAATTTCAAGTTAGAGAACAACAACATTTTAAAAAGACTTAGTAATTAAATGTACTGTGAAATGTTTAGTACTTTTATAATTCTTTTTAAGCTAAGGAATTCAGTTTCAATGAACAAATGCGGGTAACAAGTTTAGTCAATCAGCTAACCACGTATGGTAGTGCTGAGTGCGTGTCTGCTCTGCCGCGATGATTTTGCGGTCAAAATTGATTAAATTTAGTGAGTCAGTGGGTAAGTTTAATGTAAGTATCTTTAGTCCACTATCGTGGACCCCCATTTCCATTTCATAGACCTTTAAATACTTATTTCGTTGACGTAGACCCTTGCAAGTTGTCATAGACCTCTGGGGGTCTATATAAGAATCACTGGTTTAAATTAATGCTGCATACTGGTTTAAATTAATGCTGCATACTCATTCGTGCGTGTTTGACTCTTTGAATTTAAAAAAAAAATTTGTTACGCTTGACCATATAATATATCACTTTATATTTTTGACCTCATGATAAGATATTCTTAAATCTTTATAATCTCTATTATATTCTGTAATATCTGTTGAATCAGTTATAAGATCTTAAACTTTATATTAGATAGTTTGATGCAATCATAAGTTCTGCGTCATAAATGTGTAAATACCTGTAATATATAAAGTGTTTCAATGTGTGATATGTGTAAGTAGTTATGTTGTTTCCATGGCTTTAAAGTGTTGTGACTTAGCTCGTGAGTTTACAGAAAGAGTGTAGTATTAGTATAAGCAGCTCTAGCTGCTTCTTCTGGATTAAGAAGTGTTGTTGTACTTATACTTTTCTGAGTACATAATTTGATTGCTTTTATTGTACAGTACTATTTTATAATTAGCCATTTTTTACTGTAGCTATTTATTAAATTTGGATTATACTGCCAATAACTCTAGCATTCTTTAACAAGCTAATTTCTTGGTCCTTTTAAGGTTTAAGAATTTGCTGTAATATGTTATGTTATTTGTTAATTTTGTGATGTTACTTTTGTGTTGTTTTGTGTTCATAAATTAGATGACTTTGTTTACTTTCACGTCGGGTCTTAAAATTAAAATGACTAATGGGTAGTTTTATTTCTAAAACTGATTACATATAATCATTTACTAAAAACTAAGGATTCTTTTTTCAATTTAAAACAAAGGTATATCTTATTTTGATAATTTGTTTTTAGCCTTGCTTTTTTAAAAAAAGTTGTTAATTCAAACTTGCAACAATAAATCTTGAAACTTTCACAAAAGATAAATAACCTCACAAAGTAAGGTTCTTATTTGTTATCTGTTTAGTCACATTTTTGAGTTTTCAAATAAATAAAATACATAACAAATTAATGTGTTTTTAGTGTATCAATAATAATTTTGTTCCATTTTTAGGTCGAATTTCTCCAATGATTGATTTTGAAAGTTCCTACATAGCAGAATTTGAGAAATGTTCTGAATGTTGATTGTATTCAAAAAGCTAAAATAAAGCTTGATAATCTTCATAACATTTACTAAAAGATATATAATAACGAAAGTATGTTTCATTTTAAATTGGTTTTATTAATATTATTGACATTTTTTATGTGGAATATAAAATTTTTTTGTAGTTTTTTTTTAAGTTTATTATTTCATCACATAAAAAATTTTTTGTTTGTTTCTCAAATAAATTTCACAATTTTTTATCTTTGGAATTATTTTTTTAAATGGATATATTGGCTATATTTGCTTTGCTTTTTATATTTCCGTTATCTTTTTATATGTGAATGGAAACTATGAATACTTTTATCACCTTTTGTTCAATCAAGACAATTTTTATTTGCATTAAGTATCGACTGCACAAACAACAGTTTTAAAAATTTATTTACTTAATTCCGCAACAAAAACATCTTAGCTGTATGATTTTGTTAAGAGTTTTTTTTACAGATGTGTTTTTTTAAGAAATATCAAACAAAAAAATCTACCATATTTGAAAAAACAAGGTCTCTTGGGCCCATTTTTTAACGTCTAAATATGCTTTTTGAATAAATCCTTATAAGCGAGTTAAAATATTATTATCATAGCCTAAGTTTCCGAAAACATCTGAAGAATATAACCCAACTGTCTTATATGCTAAATATACTTTTATTATGTAAAAAAATTAAAGTAAATAATAATGTAATAAGTAATTATGCTACAAAGTTCTGAAGTATATCAAAATAAAAATTGGCAAGAAGGCAAGAACTTTAGGTAGTCAGTAAACTGCAAATTACGTACTTTTTAGCGTACCAAGAAATTTTAATGAGCACACCATTCATGATATTTAAAAAATACTTGCTCATCAATTTTTTAAACAAAATACTTTGGTTTTCGATATATTTAATTTAAATTAGGCTGTTTTCTTTTAAATTAATCATAATGTAACAAGCAATAGATTTATGATTCGCAAAAAAGTTCGCATTTTACCAACTACCAGAACATTATATTGATATATTATTGCCGCTTACTGAAATAAATTAAAGTATAAAGACTAAATTAGAAACAAGTTTAGAAATAGTCGTGTGTGGATTTGACTTACCACGATTTGCATCGTACGGGTCATGGTAGCTAGTTTATATTATTTGTGTATTATTTTTAAAAGAGATAATTTAAATCAAAATCTTTTTGTAATAAGAGATTCTTAGATTCTTTTCTAAATTATTCATAAGAGATATTTTCAACATTGTTTTTTTTTGTGATAAATTTTAGAAAATGTTTCCATAGAAACGGTCCGTAGTATTGGATTTTTGAAAAAAATTAGTTTTTAATTAGTTTTTAAAACAATAAAGTTATTAATTAAAAACTTAGTAGGATAAATGTTCAATATTAAATGTTCTTATTAAATTATACTGCTAAGTATTAACCTTATAATTTATTATTATATTTTTCACTTATTATAACTATAATATTTTACTTATAATCATTTATAATTTATTATTGTTTTAATATAAATTGTTTTATTTTATACTTACATATATTTTTTTAATATATATTTACGTTATTCTTCTTTTACTTTATTAATTGTATTTTTTTATTATTTATTTTAACTGTTAAATAAATATTATTTATGTTTTACTATTTTATCAATTGAGTTATATTTATATTGTTAATAAACACTACTTTTATTTTTATTATTTTTGGTTATATTGCTGTTCATATTACTCTTTGTTTCCTTATTTCAGTTCATTCAATCATTTCATTTTATAAACTGTACCACTTAAATGTCTACTCACTGCAAAGATTGCTTCAAGAAAATTAATAAAAACCATCACTACCTTTAATGTAATCATTGCCTAAACCTTTTTCATAAAAAATGTTGTTGTCTGAATGATACTGAATTTAGAATATTGAAAAACTCTAAAACATCTTGGTTCTGTATTTTATGTAGGGAAAAAATTTTTCCATTCAGTACTTTATCAGATAAGGAGCTGCACCTGCAAGCAATAAATGATAAAGTGATTTATATTAATGAATTCGAAAACATCATATCATCTTTCCCAAGCACCATACAGTCTAATCTTTATAATGAACTTTATGATTTTATTTCCCATCAACTTAATAACAACAATGACAATGACGTAAACCTCGAAGAAAACTCTATTAATTGTAAATATTTAAACATAGAAAGTTTTAACTCTTCTAACATCGACAAAAATAATTTTTCTCTTTTTCATTTAAATATTGCTTCTCTTGTTAAAAATTTTGACGAATTAAACTCACTTTTATCTCTTATTAACCATAAATTCAGTATTATTGGCATAATTGAAACTAAACTAAAAAATGACATTCTACCAACTATCCCATTAAATCTTACCGGTTATGTTTATAAGCACACTCCAACAAAATCTTATTTTAGAAGAGCTTTACTTTATATATCGAATACATTAATTTACAAACTTCGATATAATCTTAATATGCTTAAACCAAAGCTTTTAGAATCTGTGTTTGTGGAAATCATAATTTCTAAAAAATCAAACATCATTATTGGCTGTATTTATCGCCATCCTAGTATGGATATTTCAGAATTTATTAAACCATATTAAATTCCACTTTTTGACAAGCTATCTATGGAAAAAAACAAAACTACTTTTTTAATAGGCAATTTTAATGTTGATCTTTTTCTAGCAAACTCAGATAATTCTGTCTCTGAATTTTTAGACACTATTGCTTTAAATAACTTTTAATTCCCTTTATTTTATTGCCAACAAGAATCACAAATCACTCCAAAACTCTAATTGATAACATATTTTCTAATGCAGCTTCTACAAATATTTTTGACGTT